TGGAATACTCCTAATAAGATTAATGCTTGGTCATTCTTTTAATAAAGATTTTGCTCCCTCTTCTTTGTTGTCCATGGGATGTCTCATGAACCCTTCAAAACCAATTACCTCTTTTATTTACAGTGACTGACCTTTCATTTTTGGTACTGATTTTTAAATTTTAGGTCAGTAAATGATAACTGTATAAAAATTGAACTGGGAGCTCATTGATTGGAATTCAGAACTCTCCTTCTCACTCCCTAATATCCAGTTTATTTTTGTAAAGCTTTTTGTTTCCTGTCTAGGAATTCTGGTTGCCATTACAGTATAGATAAATCTTATAAATTTATTCTGAATTAAGTTATCTTTTGTCTTTCTAAACTTGCTGATGTCAGTGGCTATATTCTTTGCTTCTTTGCTGCCCTTAAGCTTTGCAGCTCAGTGTCAGTTAAAATTTCAACCTTTTGCCCCACATTTTGAATTAACTGACATGATTGCTGAATTTTCTTTGTTGTTGTTGTTTTTTAATTTGTTACTTGTTATTTGATAAGGTTCAAGTTCTTCAACAAATCTTTATGCTGGTAGTACAATCCATGCAGCAGTTCTTGGCAACAGAATTGAATCAACTATCAGCACAAGACATTTCTGCTTTAGTGCACTTGTCATCTCTGGCTGAACAGATTTTGAGCTGGGATTTTTCAAAGTTTGATATCCTTTTACATTTTGTTGTGTTAATACACTCACCCTCCACAAAAGTTTACTTCTTGTGTAAAAGCAATGTTGAGCACAAAGGAAATTACATTTTCCATTAGTCAGAATGAGTTGACTTGTGTTTTGGGATTTAACTCTAATAAAAACTGCCTGATGTTATTTTTCCTGTGATTATAAAAGTTTTTTTTAAGAATTAAATCGCTAACTGGCTTACAGAAATTTATTTTCATGGAATCAAAGAGGCAAATTCATGGTTGGTAGTTAAAACACATAAGGTGCTTCATCTTACCCGCTCACAGAGCTAGCCATGCAATATCTCGTCATTATATCAATTCTGATGATGATGACAATGGTGATGATGAAGAGACTTTCTTAACTAGTGTACGTCACAGAAAAAAGCTTGTGTCAGGGGAAGCAGCAGCTGTGATCCTATTTAGACCAGGTACTTCTTGGAGAGAGCTTATCTTTGATCCTGCTCTGGTGGGCTTGTTTTGCAAGGTACTGTTCATATAAGAGAAAGGAAAAACAGGCCTGAATTGTCTTCATTGGAAAATGTGTAGTAATTGTCAATATGTGATGTTTCCTTTCTCTGTGAAATGATGTGAATCTGTGAACTCATCTGTGGTCTCAGTGTAGGTTTGTTCTGCCCTAAGCAGTAGCAGTAGATCTAACAGTTGGGTTCTGTGTGGGTTGTTTACTCAAGTTGGATGCCAAAAAATGATGAGGGGAACTACATGTAAACTAGAGAATTTCATACAGTCTAGTATTTCTATTTCCTATAGTTACCTGTTTTCAATTATTTGGTTGTTTGGTTGTTTTAGTTTTTCTTTAAGTCTACTTTATCTGGCCGTAAATGAAACCAGGAGCCTGCAATTTATTTGTGCCCAAAAATGACTGAATTGTCATTATAGGAATAAGTTCTCAGGAACTTAATTGAAACTCTTAAGTAGCAAGTTATTCACTTCTGAGTAGGGTGTTAGGCATTTTATTCAAACTTGTGGTATGTTATAATTTGGTTTTTGTTTACAGATGGGTAACTTTATCAACAAATGTCTTAACCCTCTAACTCCCATGGGTGACCAAGACAGAATTTCTCCTTGCAATATCAATAAAATATCAACCAGATAAATGATGAGAGTAAAAAAAAATATAAATTTGTGATAATTAGTCAATCCAATACTAAATTCTCTGAACAACCACTATAAGAACTGTATGCTTGACAGTAGCAAGAATTACAAATTTGATCTGGGAGTTAAAGGGTTAATATTTCACATACTTGAGCTTGTCAGTGGCAACATGGAGAGCACAGGTTTAATTCTTTTACTCCCACAAGTGACCAAGGCAGAATTTATCCTGACAATGTCTACAATATCAAACAGACAAGTAGTGAAAACAAACACAAATATCAAAAAGGGGATTACTACTTGATCCATTATCTAATTCTCCTAACTCACTTCAAAGGAATTTTATGGCAGTCAGTTAGAGGAATTACTAAGGAGATCTTGGGAGTGAAATGGTGAAATCTCAATGAGACTAGACTTCATGCTTCTTTATCCTGATGCATAAACTGTCAATTCAACTACATAGATCATGTAGTGACTTTCTGATATTTGTAAATACTGCATTTTCTCAATAGCTTCAGCTAAAGATGCAGGCCAATGATGAAATATGCCACCACTGTGGTCAGTGCTTAATTCAGCTTGCCTCCCTCTGTGGAGAGGTATTTCAAGATACTCTGTCACAAACACAATACATATCTAATTTCATGGAGGGATTTCTGCAAATCTCTAAAAGGTACAGTGTTTGTTCTCCTTCTCTAGCAACAACAACAGTAACAACAACTTTATGGTCCCTTTATCAAGTTTTTGCAATGTATTATATAGAAAATAATAAGGAATTATTTAAATAATAATTAATTAAATAATAAAAGGGTACTACTAGCATCCAGGAATAACTAAGCAGCTAAAAATGACCGAGAGCTGGATTAAGTTAAATAATTATAAAAATAAATATTTGTAGCAGAAGTACAGCATGGTTAACATACACACAAAGTACACAAACATCAGATACTTCCTATTTTATAACTGTAGAATTATGATAGACATTGGGATTCAATAATGTACCTGTTTGGATTGTGAAGTCAGTTGTATATGAGGTTCAATTGCTCTTGGGGACTCAGAATTTTTCCTTTGTCCCACACTTGTGACAAGACAAAAAACCTCTTTCTCTATATCTTTACCAAACTCAAAACTTACCATCTCTCGGATTCTATTTACAAACATGATGCTATTGACATTGCTGCTCATAGCAGTATGCAGGACGTGTGTCATATGAACTTCATAATAGGCCTTGCTCAGTGTAGAGTCTCTGTGGCTCAGTGGTAGAGCATTGGGGTGTGGAATCATTAGGTCTGAGGATTGATTCCTCATGGGGACTCAGAATTTTTTCTTTGTCCAATGCCAGTCTTATATGTGTTCTGAATTTTTTTTTCACAAATGTAAGTTCTACACTTGTGTGGTACTGTACAAAAGTAAAGAAGATATCCAACAGACTGCCAGTCCTTATCTCTTGTTTCCCAAACAGGCAAATTTGTATCAGTGGTTTGTGAAGATGTTGCTCCTTTGTTGACTAAAATAATCCACTTAGAATTAATTTTTTTTGCCCTTTAAATAAGCTGGCCTTAAATCAAGGGAATAGTGGTAATTAAAATTTGTCTAACATATTAGTTATGTTTAGCATCCTAAGTTGACTGTTTGTTTATGTTTAACTTAGTAATATTAGCTTTTTAATTCATTTTTTTAATACATTATTTGGTGTTTGTCCTTTAGCTTGGAGATGAATGGACAAGCGGCATTGTGCCTTGGTAGCATTGTGAACCGTCTTCTGTGTGTGTTTCCTATTTATGCCATCAAGGCTTTACCTGTCGATACACTAAGATTGTTTGGAGAAGCCATGACTGACCTGACATGTTCCTTTTTACAAGCTGTTGCTAAAGAAGAAGAGGTTTGTCACTCAATATTTTGTTACTTCTACATTTTTAATCCTTTTGCCACTACATGTTATTTTGATAGAACATAAAATTATCTCTAATTGAACGTAAAAACTGTATATAATTTCAAAGGGAGAATTACAAATCAAATTGTGGGGGTTCAAGGGTTGAACTGCATCAATTGCTCTATATGTGTTTGTCTTAAAATTTACTCTTGTAACTTGGACTTTCTGTTCTTTACCAAGATGCAATTTATGCCTTTAACCCCTGAGAGTGACTGGTGTATGATTTCCCCTTAAAATATCACCCATGAATCACACATTAATGTTTCGAGAATAGAGGAAATGATCACCAACCGAAAAAGCTCTTAATAGAGGAATTCTCCTTGTCAGCACCTAAGGAAATGTATAGGGAGCAGTGTGGAGAATATGCATACTGATGTTGAGGGGTTAAGCACACATTTTGTAAATCAATCTCATACTTGACTATGCTCATTTTGCTTTCAGCTAAACACTGAGGACACAAGCTTTATAGAAGCTGTAGAACAATTCTTGGAAGGATGGGCTAGCCTACTGGAGTACTCAGGATTGTTTCCTAAGGGAATATTCAGTGATAGTGCCACTAAGATATTAAACTGCTATGTTCAGTGTCATTTGGCAGCTCCAGATGGTTTGCGTGGGACATTTTCACATCAGATTGACAATGGCATTCACCTTGATGAGATCTGTGATTTGGATAGTGATGACAGAGAACTTTTTGTCGATCAGTTATGTACTATTGGCAGCTTTGGTCGTCTCATACCAGATCATGCTCTCAACCTTCTCACGAAACTCTTAGAAACTAGAGTTGATCAGTTTGAAAAGTATCTCTCTGCCATCAAGTATTCAACAGGTATGTACAGTTGAACCTGTAATATCCAGTCACCCTGTATCAGTTTGTTTCCCCTTAGTCACCATAATTTTCACCTCTATTGAGTGCTTACCTCAATAAGGTGGTTGTTGTCGCCTTTGACTGAGTCTCAACAGCCTTTTTGTATTGTCTCTCATAATACAAAATACAGTCAGTCAGTCAGTTAGCCAGTCAGTTCATTGGTCAGTTCATCAGTTAGTCTGTCAGTCAGTTAGTTAGTCACTTCATCAGTCAGTTAATCAGTTAGCCCATCAGTCGGTCGGCCAGTCAGCCAGTCATTCAGTCACCTAGTCATTCATTCAGATAGTAAGTTGATCAGCTGGTCAGCCAGCTAGCTAGTCAATCAATCAATCAATCAATCAATCATTCAATTTATTAATCAATTATGCTTATCCTTTTTTGTTAAGGGCCTTTATCCTCCGGCTTTTCAGGCATGGATAACCTTTATGAAGACCTTCATTGGTTACTTCTAATTTCTGGTTACTTTCTTGCTGATGATGGCAATGGGGAGAAACCACTTATTCCAAAAGAAATTATATCATATTCGTCAAGTTTAGAAAGTCATGTTGATGTGCAGGCTACTTTTCAGTGTCTCTGTTCATCACAAATCCAAGGTAAGTGGAGTGTGAAAGCTTTAATGTAGATGCAGCTTTCTTCCCTGCAGCAAAAACAAACATCATGAAATCTGGTGCACCCTTATAATCTTTATAGTTAGAAAAAGGGATCCTTAATGAATTTGTATAATTTTCCCTGTTGAAAGAACTGTATTTTATTGATCAAAGTTCTTGCATTAGTTCTCTGTTTAAAAAATTTAACACCAAATTCTCGGAATTAGGATCACACTAAATGTTTTGCAGATGATGAAGATAAATGATATGGAGATCTCACGAGCAAAATGGTTGAAATGTGTCCTGGAAGGAATTAGGGAGGAACTTGACTGTTAGCAATGTTTTTCAACTTTTATGCCTTACTTTTTCAAGTATTTTTATTCATTATTTTTCTCAAGCCATCACCGAGAATCACCAAGACAGAGTGATGCTTAGAAAGTGAATTCTTCACATGGCCCTTTTTCCCTAAGAAGCCCCTTTTCCCCCCCCACCCCCCCCCCCACCATCTAGTTTTTTTGACTCAAAAGGTGTAGTGTTCTCCATGTATTGTACATGTGTATATAACGCGAGATTAGCTTATTTGGGTGCCTCTGAAATCTCCCAGTCTCCTTTGCAGCCGTTGTTTGCTCCCGCCGCGCAACGCGTGGGGGAGGGGGAAGGGGGGAGGGGGGCGGGGAGAGGGGAAAGAACGCGTTGGGTGACGAGACTAAGAAACGGCTGTGAAGGAGGCTAGGGATCTCCTAGAACAGGTTTAGACAGCTTTTAGACACTCTCTATAGTGTTAGTTTGATCTTGTCTTGGAATTATTTCCCTCAGAAGATTTGTTCTTATCATAGGGGATGCAAACAGTATTCAGGACTATTCCAGAGTTGATCCAGTGGTGAGACTTGTGTCGGTTATCTTCCGCTTAGCAGACCTGGAGAAACATGCTCTAGGATCTGGTCTATCAGAACTATTAAGTCCCCAGGTTGGGCGGAGTATTGTCTGGTGCCTGAGGCATTGGGCTAAGTCATATCTGTTACCAGACGAAAAGGATTATGACAAACTTAGTGTGTCACTTATGTCTGTGTTTGGACCATGCACTGATGGTGGAAAGTGGGCTCTAGGATTCCTATTGGATAAAGTTAGGACCAATTTATCTGGATGGTCTGCGGAGTCACAGATTGTTGAGGACGCTGCTTTGTTGCTGTTAAGCTTGGTGGACAGCAAAAACAGGTAAATGACATATTAGGATGTGAAGTAATGGCAATAACCAATCAGAGCAAAGATAAGTACCCGTAAGTGCAAATTGGAACTCAAGGAAAACAAGCAAACTGCTTGAAGGGCAGGAAAATATGAGTGATCAAGTTGTGGTTGAATTATCCACCCCCCTCCCCCTCCCCCTTTCCCCTTTTTTTTTTACCCCCAGGAGTGATTGGCGTCTAATTTCTCCTTACAGTTTCACCCTTAAATCAAATTTAAAGGTCATGAAATTAGTGGGAATGATCACCAATTTAAGAAGCTCCCGATTTTCGAAAAAAAATTTCCTTGTCAGCATCTTATGAAATGTATAGAGAACAGTGCGGAGAATATGCATACTGATGTTAGGGTGGAAAAGTTACAGGGTACATTTTATTTGTCGGGGGGGGGAGGGGGTGGTGCACTTAAAGAAATCACTGAGCGACAAACAAAGCCATCTCGAATTACTAAAAACACTCAATAGAACATTTCTTTGTATCCCTCAAGGAAGAGTGTGGATGCCTTCAAAATTTTTGAATGTAATATTACCCCTCTCGCGATTGGATATAGTATTTTTGCGAACGAGTGTCCATTGTTGACGAGTCTTCTGATTTTCTCTTACCTTTTGGTTGATTGACAATTTAGGGCAGAAGTGGCCATCTCCTTCGACAGTCTGTGGCTTCTAGCACAAGAACATATGTCTAAAACTTCTGTTCTTCACGAGCTTCCGCCTGAAGTGTTGCGCTACCTTACACAGGCTCTTGTACTGGCAGGATCAGTCGGGGACGATACAACTGCGAGAAAGAAATACTTAGATCAAGTGAGTAACTTATTTAATTAAAAGTGCTTGTAGTATCTCTTGTCAAGATCATTTGTCGTGTTACAAATCTGCCAAATCTTAGCTCGATGTGATGTTTTTTTGTAAGTGAGTTTTGCACGTAAACTACGTAAGTGGTGTCTTAGTATACGAAACAAATCTCAAAAAAGTACCGAAGGGATGGCCGCAATTATGATCTGTGAACGATAAGTAAGTAGGTTATCTTCAAAGGTAGACTACAATAAAGGCAACTGATTTTAAAGGTATATTTTTTGTTCCGACTAAGTTCCAACTGTTGAAACATCACCACTTTAAAATTCATGACATTAGTTTCTCTTCCTTAATCAGCTTGTAGCTAACAATCAACCATGCCTACGGACGCAACATGGCGGTTTCTCTGCAAAGTAATAACTTTGTTTGAAATTCTCTCAAACGCAATTCCGGAATGAATTTTTTTCTTGCACCTTCGAGGTTCAATAAATAAACTAGCAGCTTTCTTACACCTTTTCCAGTTGGTGTTCAGGACAACCGCCTTTACTTAAGTATTGGCCACTGAACCATTACATTATTTAGCGTCTTTTTCTCTTGAAGCATAACCCTTTCGAGATTGCTGACCTTAGCAATGTGTGAAACACTTCTTACCCATGGGCGCCATATACAGCTTAGCTGACTACCGAGTTCTCTGCAGCTTAGCTCCAGTAAGAGAATAGGAGCTTGCTGCGGCTTGATTCCTCACAGAGGACTGGGAAGTTTTCTTTTTACCTCAGTCACGCTTGTAAAAAATTTACATTTCCTTCTGTAGGCAATGACAGGGATATGATTTAACCATCTTTCTTCTGTAATGTTTACAGCTTCTACGGACCTTACAGTCGCATTTCTTGGGCACTTGTCACCAGCCAGACTTCACTAAATTGTCTCAAAAGGAACCAGTACGAAGTCAGATGCAGTGTTTGTTAGAGTCATTCAGAGGAACAGCTTTGGCGGCAAATCGACACAATGCGAACACGCTGTTTAACTACCTCCTCCCTGTACTCTCAAACTGCGTGCCACTGGTGAATGTGTATCAGAATTGTCCCGAAGTAGTTTTTCTGGTTCTTGAATTGTTTGTGGATGTAGTCGACTCTCAGATTGCCTATATTGAGGAGGTGAGTTTGTTCAGTTAACTGTTCTTCTTGTTGATATGCATAAGCTCTCAATATGTCGATACTCAAGTCCCCTTCGTGAGAGCATGATAACCGAGCCTGATAACTGAGCTGACCCCTGAAAGGAAACGGAAACGGCTTAGTTACCGAGTTGAACCAGGCGTGATCTTTTAATTTTCTTTCCTGTAAAGGGGCATGAGGGGTCACCTGGGAAATTTTACAGCTTGGTAAACGTTGCTACTTAAAATACACCAGTATTAGTGTCGTAAAATACACCAGTAGTAGTCTCTTAAAAGAAATCTGAATTTAAGTAAAGAAAAGAGAAACTAGGTGAGGCCCAAGTGAGCCCGTTTGATCGTACCCCTTATGAAGAGGTAAAATGATATTAAAAAAGGTATAACGATTGTAGGAAAACTCTCATAAAGAATCTATGAGTTCATGGGTGACATAGCAGAAACTGAGTTCAAAACGTTCTTTGTGGATCTTGGCAATGTTTCTTCGTTTAAGGGTTGAGCAAAATCTCTGACGGGTTATGTTGTTCTTTCTGCTATTTTTTTCTGAATTATCTTTAGCGTGAATTACCAAGACTTTATGAAGTTTGTATGGGGCTTGTACAGACGTATGGGAAATGTAATCTGGGTAAGTACTTTGAAATCTTATTGGAGAACCTTCAAATGATGTACGGTACTATAGTTAGCTCGCGCGTCATCGTATCTACCCAAGGGTTGCCATGCTTTTATTGACTCTCAAACCGTTCTTTGTAGGAAAAATAAGCGAGGAGTCGCTGGCAGAAGAGGAACAACTGAACGATCTTCTTCTTCTGATAAAACTCCTTTCCAGCTTGCTGTCCAAGGATAGCCTCGATTTTGGCTCTGGTAAGAAACTTGCATCAAGTGTCGCAGTTCTAAAGATTAAAATGATTTCTCGGAAAGCTCGATTTTGGTGTGACTCGAAAGCAGAGAGTTTTCACCGTTGACGGAAACTGACGTCAAGAAAGATGTTGGCCATTTTTGTCATTGGGTGACAAAGGAAAAAATCAAGTGTGTAAATAGTATCACGGGTGTAAATAGTGGTAAATTTTGAGCTTTGTGCATGGTCGAATGAACTAAGATATTTGCTATTTTGGTGAAGAACGTAATACGAAGATAAACATATGAATACCCTAAATGATATCAACCACTAAGAGCGTATGGTTCAACTCTTTCTCATAATGGACAACGTTAGGAGTTTGTTCCCTTGTTACTTATCGGTTATAATTTGTCGCCTGGGGGAGGGGAGGGGGGGGGAGAGAATGTTTGAGGATTTTGGTTTTGTAAGGTTGAAATTTAGCTAATCCCCCCCTCAGGCTCTATGATATTCTCATGGTCCTACCCCTCCCTTACTGGCAGTCAATTTTCTATAGTCCCCCCTTGATACTTTGTCGGCCTGCCAACCCCCCTCCGTTCCTTTTGAAAGCCATGTGATCCCTTTCAAACTCATTCTTTTCCCCCCCCCCCTCCTTAGAGCGTTAATAAAGACTGGTCCCTTAACCCTCTACCCCTGGACATCAGTATCCATATTCTCCATACTATTCACTATACATTTCCTAAGATGCTGGCAAAGAGAATTTTCTTAATGATCAAGAGCTGCTTTAGTTGGTTAGTTCCTTTATTCTCCTGACCGTAATGTTTGATTCAGGGGTGATATGGTAAGGAGAAATTAGATGTTAGTCACTCTTAGGAGTTAAAGGGTTAAGGCTTCCAAATATAGCGCTATAGTAAATGATTCAAACCGTCTTTGTTTTATCAATAGGTGAAGATCAGAAAGTGACACCATCTGACGTGGCGTTCTATGGTCTTCATGTTATCATACCTCTTATGTCCCCAGAGGTTCTCAAAGTAAGCTCCTCTGCTTTTGCGATTTCCCACTTGTTTTCAGCTCGGGTCTCTTGTGAATTATTCACGCAACTAAGACAGTGGGTTTTAAAGCTTGCCAATAGCTTGATGGGACCTCGATCAAACGCTGAGGCGTCAACTGAAAGCTGCCAGCGTTTTCTTTGTGTATTGGCAAGTTTGCTCAGGCGTTTGTATGAGGCTGGGGTTTAATCAGATAAACGTGAAATAAGATCTGTGTGTAACGGGAGAAGTTATAATTATGTCTTCGAAAAATAATTAAACTCAGTATTTTTTGGCAAGGTGACTTCACTAAAATCAATCTGTCGGTCTTTCAGTAAAAGTGAGTTGGAAACTCTTGATGAACTTAACTGTTTCAGTTTCCAATGCTGTGTACAGAGTTTTTTAAGCTGACGACCTACGTGTGCGAAATGTACCCTGAAAAGATGTCAGCTCTGCCAGACGAGTTGTTCAAGAGCCTCATGGCCTCATTAGAAGTGGGACTGACAAAGTATCCTTATTTACTAGTAGGGTCTTCAAGCCCACTGGTACTCACCTCTGGAGCTCAAACTGGTGTAATTTAGCTTGACGTCGCCTAGAGTATTGCTGCTTTTTCTGATTTAGATGCTAGTTCACAACTATTTGAGTGTTGTTCCTTGACTGTTTGTTTAGTTACGGCGCTGATGTCACAAAAATGTCCTTAGAGGCTCTTTCTTCGTTAGCAACCTACTGCTTTGAAGAGGCACAGAAAAATGTGAGAGTCCCCATTCACGAGGTTCTTCAGCATTTCTTGAAGGTATTGAATTACGTTTGCTTTTCTGAGGGTGAAATGGAGTGTTGGTCAGCCTTTACTTAAAATGTGCCGGCACTTGTGATTTAAAAACCTCTAAGATTTAGATGCTGGTTATTCTTCCATTTAGCTGCTACTAATACTCTTGTGAATTATTTAACCCGTTAACTCCCAATATCTGATTGTTGTTTCTCCCTTCTAGCTGCTACATATTTCCTTGTAAATTTATGACGAGAAGTTGGTGTTAGATCAAGATAACAACTTTTACCTGATAAGTTTCAATATTCTCATTACCTATTTGTTGGATAACGTACGGATGTTATAGGGAGAAGTTACGTTTTCATCACTTCCGGGAGTTTAAGAGAAGAGAGTCCTCTGTCATATCAAGATGACGCCCCCCTAGCTGATAAGTCCGATAAGTCTCCATCAGTTTGCTTGATGATTCATCGATTTTGTTGAGAAGAATTAGAAGTGAATTTCCACACGAGTGACACGCACACGAGGCGACACGTTACCGTACCCCGTCTTAAATGTTCCAGCATTTTCTTATACTTTTTTATTCGCAGTACTCTCAGTTATTTTCTTCACCCTCTTAGAGCTTATGTCAGTCAAGTTGTTTTAAACCTTAACAATTTTTCTACAGTGAGTCCTCAATTGTTGTACCTCGTGATGTCATCCGACATTGTGCATCGCAAAAACCGTTGCACAGCTCCTTCAACTTGTTAGTGTATTAATTAATCCTTGTTTCTGTTTTGGACAGACTCTGTTTGATATGCTTCTTCTAAAGTCATTTGACATGGATTTACTTCAACCAGCAGCGGAGGCCTTTCTTGCTTTGATTTGTTGTCATCAGGTGATTTTGAAATTCTTTTGGCGTTGACTGTTCTTGACCTTCTTTTCCAGCTTCTATTTCAAACAAATTTCATCATGCAGTTGTGCGTTTTATGGCAAGATTTGTCTTTAGAATGTTGTATCTTTACCGCGCGCCGCGGAGGTCCTTTATCTCTCGCATGTTAACATATCAATGTCGTCAAATCAACAAGGTTTTTTTTTTTTGCTAAATAAAAGGCTTCTTCGCTTTACCAAAAAATTGCGTTATCGCCATGTGTCAGAATTTTGAAAACGTCTTCAAAGCTGCAGCTTACATTCAGGTGATCCCCTCATTTCATGTTGTGTTTTTAAATGATATCCTCAGTTTGAATATTTCATTAAATTGGATGTAACAGAGAGAACCTTTCATGGCCGCTGGATATTGAATTTTTTCTTCTCATAGTAAATCTTTGCTCCGCTTCTCGTGAAAGGTACCATCAGCACTCTTAGGTAGGACTCGAGTACCAGTGTCGCTATATCATATCATCTCCATTCTTTTTACTGTTCAGATGTATTATACCGAGTTGGTACGTAACCTTTTGGCGCAACAGACGGACCGAGTTTTAGGTCAGCGGCTTTTAGACGCCTTCAATCAGCTAACTCCGAGCAACATGAAGTTATCACTGGACAGACTCAACAAGATGCAGTTCAGGAAAAGTCTGGACTTGTTTCTCAGGAGTGTCAAAGGTTTTCTTTGCGTCAAGTAGAAACTTCCTTGATGAAGTAAAGAAATCGCAGGTTCCGCATGCCACTAAGCACACCATTTGTAGCAGTTCATAGCACCGACCAGCTTTCTAGTAACCCACTCTTTCGCAACATGGGAAACGAGAAAGAGCTAGGCAAGAGTTTAGGAAAAATCTGCACAGCCAGTCTATCTTGTCTCTGATGGAAATGTGAAAACTTGGGTATAAGAAAAAAGAGAAGTATTATTTTCGTTCAGCACCATTGCGTAATACAATTACTCCAAAAAAGAGGAAAGAAAACACGGGTGGCGCAACTAAACCATAGCGTGATGTTTGAAAGCTAAAAAGCCTTCAACTAAATTAACCGAAATCCATTATTGTCTTATAAATTTATTCTGAAACATTTTAAAATTACCAAGAGGAAATCTGAACATGTAGAGTCTGATGCACAAGTGGCGACAATGTAGAGGGTTTTTAAGTTGTAAATATATTTTAGTGACATGATAAAGTCAGCAAACAAGATAAATATATTTTTTATATATATTTTTATTTATTTTCAAATTGACATTTAACTTAGTGGTAAACAGTGGACAACGCAGGTATCTCTTCGCTGTTGTGATGTCTAAAACGGGCAGAAATATGCGTTTTCCAATTATGTTTATGGTCATGTCTCTTGATTACCCTTTCACTCCCAAGATCTAATTGTTTATTTTCTCCTTTAGCTGCCGCACATCTCCTTGTAAATTAGTTGTGAGAATTTGGTGTTAGATCAAGAAAACAACTTCTACCCGATGAGTTTGAGTATTGTCATTACCTGTTTGCTGGATTATGTATGGGTATTTTTGGGAGAAATGGCATGCTAATCACTTTTGGGAGTTAACGTTTAAATAATGTGTACATGCTCCACAGTTTGGGTTCCCAAAGATTGCGAAAAGGTACGAATTTTCTCGAAAACGTCTCTCATAGATCTGTGTTTGAGCTACCGTTGCAGATTGATAAAATCCTCTTAATTGAGCTGACTTTCTCTAAGGCAAGATATGCATTAGCATTCATTATTTTTAGCGAGAAGACACTGTAACTACAAAAAAATGACAAAATTACTTGGCACGCCTTCTTTAAGTGGGTGGTCGACAATCCTCTACTCAACAAAATAAACAACAACAAAAAAATCTCGTAGTTCATTTGTAGTAAGCTAATTTTAAAGTCCTCCCTTTGTGCCCAAACAGTGTTGCCTGAAATTAGTGAGCATTTTGTGAAGACAAGGTAATATTGGGGGAGAGGGGGAGATAAATTGAAGTTAGAGAAAAGAAAGTCAATAAGTAGTAAATTGTGCCAAGACTTTTGCCACTCAAGGTAGGACGATATGTTGTGTGAAGCACATAAGGTGGTTCTCTCCAACATCCCCAAGTTAACCAAGGTTTTCATGCGCCAGTGTATGCGTATGATCCTTGTAAACAAATATTCCGCACTTAGGCCCAAGGTGTAACCTTTGTGTTCTGGTTCAAGCGCGCAGAGCAGAAGAGGGTGGGAGAGAAGAAACTATTCCTGTAGTCTCTCTGGTAGTGTAGAAGGTCTCCTGGAAGCCTGCCTGAAAGAAGGAACGGACAAATAAGCCAAAGCTCTCACTTTCTAAGCGATGCTAAGCTCAAAATCTGTTATGTAAAAATGTGTTTTGTACTAATGGGAAAACAGAAAGTTGATTTTTTGTATCAACGGCTTTGTATTTACTCTCGTTTTAGAGTGGAGGCTGTAGGTAGCTCGTAAAAGGCCAATCAAAATGGAATTGACTGGAAACTAACTTTTAAATTGCAGACATATCTAAGTTTTAACCTTCCCTGTGGTACATCCCAAGCCGTTAAAATGGAAAAACGAGATCTTGTTTAAAAAGGCAGATGTTAAGTTAAATAAATCGTCTTTCTGTAATAGATCGTCCGGAAGGTTCGACCTTCATTGGGAAAAACGGAAGTTTCTTCTCGCCGAGTTTCAAGCGGGAGACTTGAGTTTGAATTGCTATTTATTCATGGCTAAAAATGAGAGAGAGAGTGAACGATGGTAACCAAGCTTCTTACTCGAGAGTGGACTGACAAACATTTCCAATCCATTGTAATTTCGCAAAGGCAGGAGTCTTCTCTCT